ATTAGTATCATATTTAGGAGAGGACGTATATCCACCAACGTATTCATTAAACCAACACATAGTCCACTATATATCCCTGCAAACTCTAATGACCCTTATAGGTATAAAATAGCAGCGTTTCGAGCATTGGTTAGGAGGGCCTTTATATACTGTGAAAGCGTTATAGACCGGGATGCAGAGTTAGAAAGAATTATGCAATTGGCAGGAACATTGGGTTACAAGAGGAATGTGATTAAGGGAATTATTAGAAAATTAGAGGATAATAAAGATATAAAAAAGGCACAAGGTCCTTCTAAATACACGAAATTTACATACAACAAACATTTAGGAGGAGTTATGAAAGAAATCACAAATATGAAGGGTGCAAAGATGGTCTTAAAAAGAGCCCCAAATTTATACAAAATACTTAGAAACGATAAAGGGGTAGTTAGAAAAGAAAATAAGGCGGGTGTGTACAAGATTCCCTACGAGAACCAGCTTTTAGGAATTAAGAAAGAATATGTAGGGGTTACAACTAGGAACCTAGGTTTAAGGATCAAAGAACACAAATATGATATCAGAAAAGGTTCTAATGCGACAGTATTGGCCCAGATGGCGCAGGCAGAAGGTTCATTGGTACATTGGGATAAAGCCGAAATCCTGAAACAGATACACTCGCCGGCTTTGGCAAGAACAGCTGAAAAGATAGAAATCTATAGAAGCAAACTTGAAGAAAAATGTATTAACGCAAGGGATGCGGAGGGTCTTCCTTCCGCTTGGAAGTTTGCGGTTAGAAGCTTAAAAAAAGCGCATGAAATTTAGTATGAAACATAGTAAACTCTATATAGTTAGGCAGACGATATTATTAATATTTAGTAATGGTATTATGTTATTTATTTTGAATATTTGATTTATTTACAAGTATTATTTATTTTTATATTATCGGTTTATTTGTATTTTTGAATATTTAAACGAGTCGTTCTATTTATGAAGTGTTCTATTTGACCTGAAGATGATCCAATGAATGGATCGAAAACGTTTGTTTTAATTAAAAATAATCTCTCAGCGAAAGATAAGGTGTTGATTACATGTTTAATTGTTTCCTGCTTAGTGATTGTTTTTATTTACATAAATATTAATTTTTGTATATTTATTATTCGTTTTGTATTCAAAAAGATGTAGTTATATATGTGTATTGTTAAATTTTATGTAAAAAATGTTTGTTTATATATATATTTATTGTCAATTTATATTTACAAAAATGTTTGTTGTTTTATAAGTGTATTGTTAATTTATATTTAATCAAATATTTATTTGTAATTTTTAAATTCGTAAATTATATCAACATTCGTTGAATTTATTTTGTATATTTGTATTCTATATTTTCAATTATATAATAAATATGTATTCTTATAACGTTAAAAAATATATTTAATAAATAAAATGTTTTGATTTATTGTTTTTGAATGAATTAGCTTTTTAACAAAATTATTTAAAGTTACTTTATAAAACTGTTATAAGTTGAAATGGAGAATAAAAATTACTATGAAATTAATAATTCATATTTAATTTATAAATCATCATAATATATAAACATACAAGCTTTAAATATATACGAGTTATTTAAAACTAGCAGATGAGTGAGGCGTTGCTAAGGAAAAACTGAAACTTTTTAGATTAGTCTCTAAAAATATCGTATTATCAATTAATTAGTATCAACTAAAGCATTTTTCATCAATTTGCAAAAACACTGAAAATCTTTTTGACAGGTACTTTGTTCTCTTACTCACTTTTATGGATGCTCCAGCAGCAGTACAATGTTCGCAGACAAAGTCACTTGGTTGCAACTGATTCTTACCAAATAAGGAAAATGGTTTACATAAATTGAAAACACGTTGATCGATGATTATTTGTCTAATTACTTGGTCCAAAATTTGCTTGCAGATTTCAACATCGACCATAATGGCGTCTTTTGTTTTAAGCTAAAATGTGTTTCCTAACCAGTTGAATATTTTCTAGTAAATTAAAATTTTATAAATAAATCATCAAATGAAAAAAATAAATATTGGTTTGACAGTTCAATGCGTCGGTATATATGTGTGGTCTGTCAAGGAAAATATGCGTCCAGTAAGATGTTATATGGAAAACCAGTCACTATTCAGTTGTTAGACACGTAAATAAAAAATTTCAGAAAACATCACTCAGTCACTTTTTTAGTTACGCTCAGAATACGATATTAATTGATTATATACATATGGCCATAAGTGAAGCGGATGAAAAATGGATATAAAACTGAAGAATGTTAAGAACAATGCGGTGTATGGAGTGCACCATCGGTAAATCACTTAATGGTAATTAGTTCAGATTCATCGTGTTTTTAAAGTACCGTATCATATTACATTACTATGCTGAACACCTTGAAAATTTGTTAAGTCACTCGTAACGCCTAGAATGTTACAGAAATTTTAGTTGACAGAATTGAACACATTTATTAATTAATTAAATTAAAGTGTAAGTGTGTGAGAGCCGAACTTAGTAGAATAAATTATTAAATATTTTTTTTGTTGAGAAAGGAAAAGTTTAGAGAAATAAACAACAAACCGATATTTAAAAAGAACGTTAAATTATTTACCACGGACTTATTTCCTGATTAAAGATGATACATCGAATGTGTCACCCGGAATCTACGAAAAAAAGAAAGAAAACAACTATTGGTTAGTGGTGAAAAACAGTCCTAATAAGGCAGTGGAAAAAATCTAACGATACTCCCTTTATAAAAAGGTGGGGTCGATGCGTAAGAGTGAGTCTCCGGAGTTTGGTGTGAACTGTGGATTTACAAGAACGAATAGTCGTTTAGTCCTCGAGTCTCTATGTGGCACAAAGTTCTTTCGAACGTTATTACGTTCGAACGGGATTAGCCGCTACCCGCAACTATTCTATCGCCGCCGTTCGGGAGGATCACTACCTAAAGAAGTATCAACGTTCGAAAGAACTTCGTGCCACATAGAAACCAAATATCAACGTTTGAAAGAACTTTGTGCCACATAGAGACTCGAGGACTAAACGACTATTCGACAACTTATATCAAGGTATTTATCCTCGCGCAAAATACATGTGAGCTCTCTCTCTCTCATTAATACGGGTAATCGGGAAGAAAGTAGATATGTTAACTGAATCGATTGTATATAGCTTAAATAGAACAATAAACGGGCATTATGTATAGATTATGTAGAGTGTAATTTCTCTGATTCTCTCCTTACGCCTTCATTCCGGAACTAAAAGTCCGCAAACGCGACCGTTCGCGTAACCAAAATTAACGGCCAATAGATTTTTTCTGTGTC